TTGAGGCAATTGCAACTGCACTTGTATCCTCTCCAATTCTCAACACAATAGGCATTCCAGGTTATAAATGCAAATTTTTCAAGAAATTAAATTAATTTTTGCAACCAAATGAAATAAATTATTCTCAACAAATTAAAAAGAACAAAACAAATGGATTTAATTGGCTACTTTCCAATACTTACATCCAATATAATTTCACTAGTAACATCATTTCTGAAAACGCCAAACCCTTTTTCCTTTTTCTTTCCTTTTTGCTTTCCAACAGTAGTGACCTTGGCCTTACCTTTGTTCTTAATTTGAGACGACTGTGTCGTTGGTGTTGGTAATGGTAGATTTAAAACAGCAACCTAAGTTTAAAAAGTTGTTCATGATATCAATTGAATTAGTTTAATGCAATAACACCTTAAAAAATATAAAGGAAACTCACTTACATCTGTTATAAAAGTACTGTTAATTGAATTAACCATAGATGATTGTGAGATATTCAGGGTTACAACTGTTGATCCCACACCATTCCATTTCTTTTGTTCCTTACCCTATAATCAACAAGTTGTTATATGCATGAAAATTTTGGTAAATTTAACATGTATAAATAATTAAGTAATATTGAAAAACATATTACAGTTGGTTTCTTCCTATGGTATATAGCAAATGGTCACCTTTTTCTTGTTTGACTTGAGGATGCAATAGATGAAGGAGTCTACATAACCAGAAAAAAAAAATCTAATTAGATACTAAAGAGGTAAATGAGTGATAGGCAAACACACAAATAAACAAAGAAAACAAACCTCATTATTGGTTACAAAAGGCATCTTGCTTTGTTATGCCCTTCTTGTTTATAATAGAAGCAAGTCATAATCCTTCCTCTCCTGGCCATTTTAGACTTGGATAGCTTTTTGCTCATTTTTTGCCTTTCTCATGTTTTTCTTAAGCCTTCCAAGCTTAGTTCTAATTGGAGGAAGATTAACAGGATCTCTATAGAATTATTGCCAAGACTTATCACCACACATTGCCTTAATAGGGAAATTATATGATTGTTGATATTTACCCTTCCTATACCAATCAGCCACAAAATCTTCAAGATCTAGATTCTCATGAAACATGCAATAAATAGCATGTGTGCAAGGGTTTCCGTTCAACTACCATGTCCTACATGTACAAGTTCTCTTTTGTAGATCTATAGCATGTCTATCATTCTTATGTTTAACTTCAAATCCAAAGGTTCCATCCCTAAGCAATCTGTATTCAAAAGATTCATTTTGATTCTTCCTTAACTTTGTCTTCACCCTTGGAGGGATGTCCTCTTTCCATTTATGAGAGGATGACATTTTTTCGGTAATCCTTTCCATCAATTGTTCCCTCATAGTGTCAACTCAATTGATAATGGGTTTGTAGCTTGCTTCCATAATCCAAAAACTAAAAGACACACATGCTATTCTCCACATCATCACAACATGTATCTTCATCAAAAAAAACCTTACACTAATACATTGGAGGGATTCTTGCTAAATCTAACCATGCTTGCTTTGACAATTTCTTTAACTTATGCACTTGGTGCTTAAACTCAACCTTCCATGTAGCTTTTGCTATAGCCCAAAACCTCTTGTTATATTGTTCACCCTTATAAATTTTAGCTTAGTTGGCATATGTGTGTTGTGCACAAAATTGATGGCGTGCATTTGGAAAAACTAATTTCCTTGCCACTATAATGCCCTACACAATAAAGTAATTTCATTCTCATTTATATAAAATAAATAAAATGTATTATAATTATTTAGCAGACCTTATTTAATGCATATTACCTTGTGCATGTTTGAAATAATTGTTAAACCTGCTCAATCTCCACATTCAATGTCTATCCTCAACAAATCCATGAAGCACTCCCAGTTTTCTTTATTCCCTGTGTCAACAATAGCCTATGCCAATGGGAACATTTGATTGTTCCCATCTCTACCAACAACAGTTAACAATATGCCTTTTCAAACTCCTTTCAAGAAACAACCATTTACACCAATTATGCATTTGTAGCTAGCTTTCCATCCTCTTTTACATCCATCAAAACACTTGTACATCCTTTTAAATTGGTACAATGTTAAGCCATCAATGTCTGTTCCAATAACACGTGGAGTTAGGATTAGTAAGCAACATATGTTCCCCATAACCTCTAAGAAGCTTGTACTAGTCGATGTAATAACATACTAACTCATTCTTAATAATTCTTTTAACTATTTGACATTTGTACTTTAAAACCTTTACTTCAATTCTGCTTTCACATGTTTAGCAAGATACCTACTGTTCATATAGGGGGGAGTTAATAACAAGTATTTTCAATGCATCAACCAAGAAGCTTTGGTTTCCATTTTATTTTTGTTGGATTTAAAACATGAATGTTTCCACCTACTCATTACGTAATGCATGCTTATCTAGCAGTATTTCTAGCACCATCTCCACGAGATAGCTTGGCATGTTTAACAACCAAATCTTCATCAATAGCAACAATATAATGCTTAACAAAAACATGGCACACAGTTGGTTGAATTAATTTTTTACTACCTCAATTATTTCAGCGTCACTACTTAGAGAATGAAACTCATATGCCATAGACTCAACCAAGGACAAATTAGGAATTCTGAAATATAGTGACTTGAATGACTCATAACCTAATTCTCGAAAGTTGTCTACAATATCCCAATAACAAAGCTTGTCAACATCCCAAATAGGAAGATCATATGTTTCGCCATCGGTGTAATGAACATAATGTGTATCAAAACTACCATCAAAATGTATGCAAACCTTAAAAGGTGGATCATCAAACATTGTTGTGAAATACAAAAAACCATAACTCTAATCAAATTCTTTAACAAATATTGGATATATGATATACAATAAAGACAATAATTAATCAAACCCACTTATCCCAAACCTCAATAATTAAATATATAATAATAATTAAAGAATGAACAAAAATATCACTACAAAACCCATGTGAACCACACTTCAATTATCTGTATTGGCTGCTACCTACCTATAAAGGACGAAAGCAACTTGAGATTGTTGAAGATTCTCAAATCTGGTTCTTGTGGTCCCTTCTTTGTCTGACAAGGCCAAACAAATCTTTGCCTTCTTCAATGGTGAACAGATGACAATCTAACTTTTCCTTCCTCCTTTTTGTTCTTTATGTCATAAAGAATTCTTTATTTGCTAAAAGTTCTTTGTTTAGGGAGGATGATTACCACCCATGGAACATTGCAGCCACATTGAATGAAAATGCCACGTAAGCAATTACACTAACAATGTGATAGAGCTCAGTTAGTGGAGGTGTTAATTTGCTCCTTATGTGGGGGTTGAAGGCTTATTGCCACTTTTTAGTTCAAGGGCTTATCACTAACTATTGAAAAAGTTGAGGGTCTTAACATAGGTTTTTGCCTTATAGTAATGTCATCTTCCTTCCCTCAATTTTTCAATGTTAAAAAAAAAAAAAAAGGGGTCAAGAAACTAATATTAACCTTATTACTTAAGTGATATATGTTAATGTTTTTAAGGTAAAATAAAAGATCTTAGGTTGGACTAGAAGGATCGCACAGGATGAGGCAAGTAGAAAGTCAAGAGCGTGTTGTCTTATTTTTTTTTTGTTAAGGCCAACTATAGTCCCTTACTCCCAATTTTCATTTATTGTCTTCCCCACACTTTAAAATCATTTTAAAACCTCCCTCTACTCTTCCAAAACATACTATTGTCCTTCCTCTAAATTAACTTTTCATAATACTCACCTCCCTCACCTAACATCTAGCTAAGACCATTACTAACAAGGCAAAACATGCAGATCACCCCCTCAACTCATTGATTGGTGGCAAATCATCCCCTTAACTCACTTCATGTGCAAACCAACCCCTCAACTCACTTACAATGGCAAATCATCCCTTCTGTTAAGGCTAACATTCTTATTTCGTTAACTTTGAACGATCCACTCATAAGCCCCTCCTCTACATTTGACATGGCCTTTTTTCTAAGATGAATGCTGGAGTGGAGGCGTCACTTGGACAAATACCCCAAAAACATCAGATCAAGCAAATTACTTTTATGCCCTTAAATTTTTAGGGAAATAAAATTGGGGATCTGAGGATATAGGGTTTAAGGAAATAAACAAACAAGCAAAGCCCAACCGGACAATGCAACAATTGCGATGTCTCCACCCTTCACTTTCTCCACCATGTATGCCTTGGTGGTATCCAGAGGCAGCTCTGCACCTCTTACATGTTTTGCCCCTACCCTACGTCTTTCTATCACACTTGTTTTGCCTTTTTTGATGACGTTCCACCCCACCCCTCCAAGCATGTCTCTTGTTCCAAGTGCACTTCCTTCATCCACACCCATTGCACCGCCATGTTGTCACTCTCCCCTTACATTTGCACGTCCTGCAACAACTCCTTCTATCACGCTTGTTTTGCCTTCTATGACAGTGTTCCACCCCACCCCTCCAAGCATGTCTCTTGTTCCAAGTGCAACTTCTTCACCCACATCCACTGCACTACACCGCCACGCTGCCGCTCTCCCCTTGCATTTAAACGCCCTGCAACAACTCTTCCTCCTTCTTCCACCAAATTAATAGGATAGACAAGAAGTAAGCTATGGTGTTGCTCTATGCCGCTAGGATCGCCATGTCCTCCATGAGTAAAACGACTGCTCTTTCTAAGGAGGAGGTAGAAAGGAAAGTGAGGGAGGCAACATGTGCTTCAAAACAAGCTCAAGAAACGCTAGAGCATCTTATTTGGGTTTCCAATGAAGAGAACGGGAAGAATGATAATAATGGGGTTGCCATTGCCAATGCCAAGGATGAGGAGGAGATGGGAGATGGCAATTTCGAAAGTCTAATAAGGCATTTGGAGAACACTCTAGGGAAGGAAGAAGTATGAGATGTTACAATTTGAATTTTAGGTTTCTTTTCTTTTTTCTTACTAATTACATAGCCAATTTTACTCAAAGATTGATGACTTTCATACATATACACTAGGAGGATGAATTTTGTTTCCCTAAACCCTAGATCCCTTGATCCCCAATTTTATTTCCCTAAACAATTTAAGGGCATCAAAGTAATTTGCTTGATTTGATGATTTTAGGGTGATTTGCCCAAGTGGCGCTTCCACCTTAGCATCCATCTCAACAAAAAAAAGGCCACATCAGACGCAGAGGAGAGGCTTATGAGTGGACTGTTAAAAGTTAACAAAATGATAATGTTAGCCTTAATAAAGGGGCTAATTTGCCACTGCATATGAGTTAAGGGGTTGGTTTGTGCACGAAGTGAGTTAAGGAGGTGATTTGCCACTAGTCAATGAGTTGAAAGGGTGATCTACATGTTTTGCCTATTAACAATCACCTAAAGGACTAATTCACCATTGAACCTCAACCCATCCTATAATTTATTATTTTTTTATTTGAATTTCAATTAGTGAGCCCCATTAATTTCATATCAGTAATCCAAATCTGCCTAGCCTAAACTTGCATCTTTTATCCTTTAACCCTTGGCAAAATCCCAAAATCCACTTAAACCCAAATATGCAATTCACATCTTCTTCCTTTTTTTTCTTCTACCCTTTAACCCTGGTCAAAATCCCTAAATCAAATGCACCCATTTTAGATTCCAAACAACTCAACTAACTTTCTCAATTAATTCCTTAGTAATGAGTTTAAAGTGGACTCTAATGTTTGAATCACCATCCTCATTGAACAATTTCAAATAGACACAACACTGTTGATGAGCTAATTTCACTATATAGTAAGAGTATTAGTCAATTCAAGTAATATTATGGTAAAAATCAAGTTTCATCCCACAAAGATGATAAAATAATATAGCACCAAAATTAACTAATTCAAATTTTATTTGAATAATTGAAATTAAATGATTTGAATAAACTAATTAACTAAACTAATTAAAGAAAAACTAAATTGACTTTAAGTGACACCAAAAATTAAAATTTTAAGTAATCCAATTTCATCATAGTCAACTATTATAGATTTAGATTAATATATTTTTAAAATCTTTATTACTCATGTGACAGATAGATTTTATATCTTATTCGATATACTTTATCAAGTTATACCAAACCTATATTCACCTATTAACTCACTATATTTTTATAAGAATTTAAATAGATAAAAATATATTATATTCTATGAAATCTCCTAATTTACATAGAAAATCAAGTCCACTTATCACTAATGTTGTAAGCATCATATTGGTCCATCTTTAGTTTTTATTCAATTTATGATATTACTAGAAGCTAGTCCTAATTATGTTCTTTAAATCAATTTTAATAACGGCCAATAATTAAAAAATATTAAGAATAATAATATATTTTATATGAAATAATAAATTTTAAAAGTATACAAATCATGAAATTCTATATTGAATTAATCAAGTTACATTGTGACCTT